CAAATGTGAGCGGCAGCTCGTCAGTTCCTCACTAACGAAGAGGCCTGCTTTTCAGTGAGGGTGCCGTATGTTTGGTATGTATGCCCATTTCCACCCAATTCTCTCTGGGCTGTGCATGGACCACCCGACACATCCGCGTCCCGGAGAAGACGCATCTAATTAAAGCTCCTGACTCAAATCTACTTACTATGGGGGGAAACCACACGGGCTGGATTAAAAGATGGCGAGAGCAGTGAAGTGGGATAGGGGGGGGGGGGTTTAATACACTGCAAGTGAAAAGGCTTAGGAGGAAATATGAGAACTCTCCATGGTAAGATCTCAGGCAAAGCTGGAAGGAAACATTGTGTGAATGTGAGCCGATCAGTCAGCGTTTGTCAGCCTTATCCCATAGCAATTTCAAAGCCCCGAGGCAGACACAGACAAGAAGGTTGTTTTTTTTTAGAAAATTGGCTTCCTAACACTCCTGGTTGCTCCCTCTGCCACATGTATATCGGCTCTTGACTACTAGCTCATAAACTCAGAAAACTTCACCAAAAGCGACCACAAATTATCCTCAAGAAATCTGATTACATACATAGAAACATGCTCTGTATACCAGTCACCCACAATGACGGCGCACAACAACAGTGTCCTGTCCAGCAGACACTAATCTTAATGCACTGCATTATACAACACATCACTCATTTCTTACATGCAATTTTCAAAACAAAGCCGCTAAGAACTCCCCTTATGAATCATACTTGTTGGCTAAAAGCATAGCTGAAGTGTACCACCCACCTCCAGTTATACTTGAACACCACAGCCAAAAGTAGCACTGGGAGACGACATAATGAATGCACGAAGCTCTGTGTCACGGGGGCTTGTATGGTGCACAAAACGATGGGGCAATTAGACCCACACGACACCTCGGGATGGCGTGATGAAGGACTCCTGGGCTTGTCTCCTCCGCCTCTGTTCCTCTATCATTAAGGATTGAGCAGCCACATCTGCCTAATGGCACGCCTGGGGTTCCTGCTCAAACACTATGCCACGCCGTGCACATTTAATTACGCCTCATAAAGGTAACAAAAGACACAGCCTGCTCTCGGGGAAGCACCGTTTGGAAAATGGGAGAGGAGACGGAGGGGAGGTGGGGGGGGGGGGACTGGCCAACTGCCAGACTCACAGGTTGACCCAGGTCGGCAGCATCAAATAAAGGGAATTTATTCAAGTGTTTCCACCTCTTCTTGAGATTGGTTGAATTGAGAACTCTGAGAGAAGGAGATGGTTAGTAGTTCAAAATCAAAGGAATTCTATTTGTCTTCCCTTCTTCTGTAGGTCACAACATACACTAGGAGCTCCTATTAATGACTAATTGCAGTTCGGACTGGGGGGATTAAAGGGAGACCTCTTTTGAAATATGCATTGGACTTGGTATCTGTTTGAAGTGAAGTGGGGCCTCTTTATCAGAGAAAACAAGAACAAGAACAACAACAAGGCTGGAGCCAGACATTACACTTCCACCTTGCCTCTCTGGTACCGCATTGCCTATCAGACCATGCGAGAGTTCACCGCATTCAGCCGAGAGCGTAAAACACACATTACCTCCCGACTGGGTGACCTGTGCCTTCAACTGTACCTGGAGGCATTCAGAAGACCTTGGATGGCTTCTTTGTGCAGCATGCAGCTGACATTTTAAGTTGGAGTGGAGGAACACATTTTTAAAAAGGGGGGAAAAAACACATCCAGGTCCCCCAGCAACCAGATGCCCACATTTAGGAAATAGCATCAGATAGGACGAGATGAGGACAAAGAGCCGCAGCTCATTGTCAAAGCAGTCAATTGTGTGGCAGTTTGAGAGCTAGTTTACACCACAGGAAAGGTCACTGGTCACTTCCATTTGGACCTGTGCATAAATCCCCTGCTGTCCAGTGCAGTTTTACAGCCAGTTCTGAAAAAGCTGCAATGCAATAAAAAAAGGGAGAAAAAAAAAAAAGAATTTTGTTTTGCCAACACCTCTCCGTCCCTTTACAGCCACTGGCTTTGTGTAGCGCCTCGTGTTATTTATCGCTTAAATGTTAAAAACATCTCTGTAGCGTGCATTAAAAATACAAGCCTGCCAATCACCTTCTTCCCTGCTAGCTTCCTCTCCTGTGAAGGCTCCCTCTGCTTTTGGTGCAGAGAGTGTTTTATGGCAAGTCCCTTCTCAGGATTAAGATGTAGATCCAAGTGCCACGGGGACGAGCATAAATTCTCCATCTCCCAGTGTGGACCAACAAGTGGTGGAGCTCAGGGACTGCCCTCGGAGCATGAATAACGTCACACGCTATGATCTGTTATACAGTAATGACACGTCTTCAAAACAATCCCCATCTCCTGTGTGGCCCATAAGTCTGCCAATGGGAGAACTGCTCACTCACCTGTCTCACAATTTGCAAAATTATATACTCAAAATACAGTTTTAACAAATACGATTAAGGCGTCTTTCTGTTTTTTAAATAATCCCTCATTTTGCCAAAGAAATTAATGCTTGATGAAATATACATGAAGCGAAGTCAGTGGATTAACAGACTTCACTTCCAGCACCGGGGAACCATTCATCAGTTTTAATGCAGTGGAGCAGCTCGAGTAAAAGGCTGGGGATGAGGCTGCTGTCTGTCCAGTAAATTATAAAGAGAGAGCACGGAGATGGATAAAACACTGTCTGTATACATCTTCACTCTTCTGACCTTTGCTGGTCTGAAGCAGGCATTAAATGCTGTTTTGCAAATCTAAAGCTCAACCACACTTCCACACTACCTGGAGTTTCTCACAGAGGGCAGCTTAAGTCTTGGAGTATAAGCCAATTTGGATTAGCTCCACATTTTAGACAGGTTCCAGTTAGGATTTACTATACTTTTAAGGCACGTTCCTCCCTAAGCGCAGCTTTAATGCTAAATACATCAACAACATACTTAACTGGGAAGATTTTTCTTTTTTCTAAGTTATTACTCAGAACGTTTGTATATTCAAAGCATTACACACAGCAGGCTAAAACATTACTTTCTAATGCCGTGCAGGCTTAAATCGCTCAGGATTCTCAAGCATTGTCGTCACCGCACAGAACACGGTATTGCACTCAAATGCTTGTACTATTTTTCTCGAACATATCTTAAGCTCATTTTTCACCTCTTTCATGCAAAGATCCAGAATAAATCTCCATTTCTTTTTCTATCTCCTACCCAGGCTTCAGGGGGCACAAGGCATTAGTCTCATGATGCTGCGTTTGTCATGTCTTCCCCAGCTGTGATCTGCCTGAACTCTTACGTTACAAATAGCTTGAGGATTTTTCACCCTCTTATCACATTTGCCAAGCAGGCCTGTCTCTTATCAGCTTTCCGCTAGAGATAAATGGGCTTTTGAAGATAGGAATAAGAGAGGTTTTTGCAAGCTAATTCCAGAGACCCATCTGCAGTAGATTCCAGATAGGTGGCAGGGAGCAGGGAAAGATTCATATTTTCATGTGGTGGCAAAAGTATCACCTTCAAAAGCAAGAGTTGTTTTTTTTTATTCACAGTCACAAGCAAAAGGAAAAGACGGAGACTGAGACGTTTGCTTGTAGCAAACAGACTAATTATTTTAAATATGCTTGGTCACCCATAATTGAGTTGGTTTTGGACTGCAGCTGCCTCCGTCTGTCTCACTGAGAACTTCATTCTATTGTCAATTGACCTTTATATACCTTACGGTTTCTAAATTAAATTTAAAAAACACATTTTGTAACTTTATGCTAAACCAATAAGTAGAATTCCAACACTACCAGTGCCCTGGAAGATTTCCCAGCACTCTAAACAAAGTGCCAGTGATGGGAATATGAACCTCTGAGAGGATATCAGAGTAACACGTCCACAACGTTCAAAAGCCTATTTGTATTTTTTTTTAGAGGTTATTTGACACTTTAGGAACAGTAAGAGACAAATAAAAACCCAAGATTACCGGAGGACTGCGTCACTGTTGAACACAACACACCCCGGGGTCCCGGTGGAAATATAGTAATACTAAGGGGGGAATAAAGTGGGGCAGACCACCATAAGCTCACAAGCGGGACGCGCCTTTAAAACCGGAAAGGATTATTAGGACAAAATCAAGGGAATTGTAGGCCAATGACTTCTTAAAAACGTGAGGCCCCAAACATTAATTTCGAAATAATTTCTGGGTCGACGACAAAGTACCGGACTTAGTTGGGGGTCATACGAGGCCGGCGCGTGGGACCAACAGGCGACATGTGATCCGGCCTGACCTCGATGGCCGGGATTGTTGAAAAATTAATTAAACAGTTAAACGGCTCTTCTCGTGGTTTTAGGAGGCAGACACGGGACAGACCCGTCCTGTGCTCATGTCCCGCGTGCTGGATTTTAAGAGTGCGCGACTACAATGCCGCCGCGGTCAGGACCAGAGGCTGCCCCGTGGGCTGTCCGGCCACAGGGGCTGCCCCGTGGGCTGTCCAGCCACAGGTCAGCCTCTCCGGCCGTGCGGCTACCAGCGTAACTCCAGCCCAAAACGACCCAAAGTGCGATGGGTCGCTGTGAGTGTGTTTATCCCACAGCGATCTCACTCTTTGTGTGCACGCAAACCCGGAGAGAAAAATGACCAACATAAAAACACACCCTCACTGTAATCCGCTTCGGCCGATCGCGTGCCAGAGAAGTTTGGACGGAATTAATGGGAACCTTTGAAAGCGCGTGCTTAAAAAACGGCCCGGGGAGACCAGTCCGGATCACACTCTCCGACACTTTTTCGTCCTTTATCGGAATGTGTGCGGTGCCTTGTTGGAGAGGAAAAACGCGCCTGCCGGTGGAGACGGCTTACATGGGGGGTGGTGGTGGGGGGGGGAAACAAACAGCTCATTCACATATTCCAGCGAATCATATTGAGAAAAAAAAAACAAAAAACAAAAACAAAGAAAAAACAACATCTCCTAAAGCCCCGTTAAGCTCGCACTCCAGTTGGAAAACGGGAATAAACGGCAGAGGCAGTCTTACCGGGTCCAGACGCGCCGGCGGAGGATATCCAAATCAGCCAGGCTGGAGAAAACAACGCGCATTCATACAAACACGCGTGATCGAGCCTCATCAAGGATAAATCCAATTTGAGGGTAAAAATGACTGTTCAAATGTTTGACGAGAAAAAACCTCAGGAGAGAGAATAATAACCCGGCGGAACAATGTAGATCTTCACGGCGGGGATTTTTTTAGCCTCTGACTCTCGAGACAAAAAGAGCCGAGACCTACGAGAATCAGTGAGATATGCAGTCTGTTTTTAACACTTTGCTAAAGTTCTGGCGATCATTCGAGCTCCTTGGGAGAAAGCAGAATCTTTGTGGAGCCAGGCTGGGCAGCGCGCGTAGGGTTCCAAACCGGACGGAGAAAGCGCCGATGACAGATCGTCCACAGTAGATCCCCCAAAGTGTCCGTCGCTCTTAAACAGAGCAGGCGACGGAATACATATCCAAAAGCCCCGCGTGCGCTCGGCAGCTCGCGGCGTAAATCGGTTGAGGGTTATCCAAAAAAATCCTCTCGCGTCAAATGAAGAGAAAGGGCAGGAAAAACGCAGTGCGCTGCGCTCCGCTCCGACCTGCTCTCCGCGCGCAACAGAGCGAGAGACTGCGCCGCGCCGCGCGGCTGCCGGGGGGTGTGCGCGCGCGTGCGTGTGCGCGTGCGGCAGCAGCTGTTGAAAATGAGGACAGAACGAGACCAGAGCAATCAATGTACGAGGGCTTGATCTGATTTGTTAACACTATTTCCAAAAAATGGCCGGGAGTTTTCCCCCCCCCCCCCCCCCACACACCCCCGTTTTCACCCCTTTTCCTGCACATTTGTACACGGTGGACGGTTTTATCTTACCATTATTAGAATCTTGATCATTTTGTGTTTTACCTTCTCAAACCGAAAGAGATTTTCGCGAGACTCCCTTCTTTTTGTAGTCTGCAACTTGTACCAGTCTTTTATGGACGATATTTCTTTCATTAAAGATGTTTCATATTCAATGCGGAACGGGTGGTGGGCACGTCGTGAATATTCATTAAAGGATAAGAACAAAAACCGTGTTTTTCTATGTCAGGAGGAACACAAAAGTCTGTGAGGAGCTGAGAATCAACGATCTTCTAATATAATTTTTGGAGAGACAAAATCGTGATGATGCATACTGTCATATTCAGAATGTGGTATTCGACATCTGAATCAGGATCAGTTTGGGAAAGTAATTTGTAATGAAAATAAATTCATATGTTCAATTATACGTATGTGTAAATTGCATGGGTAAAAAAAAAATACACATACACACACACACACACACACACACACACACACACACACA